AATTGCCTAATAATTCAGATCTTCACAATCTGTCTATTGCCTCAGAAATGAACAGCTATGACAGATATCACCCTGTTTAATTCACAGCCTTTTACCACTTTAATCCTTACCCCAGTCCCTGTTTTACTCCATAGGAAGGTAATGCTCTAGTGCTTATTAACACATAAGGTTCTGGAACTTCTTGGAGGCAATGGCAGCAGCATTAGCAGAGTGCAAAACGTCCATCACTCCTCACACATTCTGATTTTAAATAATGTTACATGGAGAGGAGTATTAATTTCTGGGGAGGAATAAATAAGGTGTTTTATTACTTTTGTATTACTCTTGTGTTAATGGAGTGTACAAATATATTTAAAAACATATGAATTTTGTAAAGTCATTTTCTGATAGGGAGAAAACAACTGAGGGAGGATAAGGGTTTCCAAAAGCAAAGCACTAGAAGCTATACAAGCCTTTGAGGCTACAACCCTTTGCCCCTGGCTTCAGCATCTACCAGACAAGTTATCTTCAGTATTAACTATAGGGAGAATAACTCAAATTATAAACAGAGTTGGATAGAAGAATATGTCATATATAAAATGATCTAAAAAATACTTTCAGATACTGAAGTCTCAAAGGCAGGGCACACTGAAATGAAAATGGTTTCTACTTGAAAGGAGATTTGCACATATTGATGCCATTATCATCTCCTTGACAAATTATAAAACCTTGCTGCAAACTACAAGGGCATAATATGAGAGTTCTTAGACATAGTTCAAAAATTGTAATAGCAGGTTTGCTGCTGTTCTCCCCATAATGGCAATTATAATGACTGAACAGATTAACTACTCCATGAAAATTTCTGCGATATATACTGCAAGGAATGACATGCTGAACCTTGTATAATTGTCATTGCAAATGTAATTTTTACTGAAAAAAAATTATGTTTATAATAGTACGACAATATGGGAGTGCTAAATAAAATGTCATCCTGCCTGCAAACAAATCCTGTCGATGCAAGTGCTGCTTATACCATGGTGTCTGCCATTAAGAAAGTGCCCGCTGTCCTCTGGGAAAGCCCTGCGAGTCATGTTCAGTTGAGGCTGTGCAAATGAGAGCACCTGGGGGACAGCCCTGGGAACCTGGCAACCACACAGCTGAGGAAGGATCCTCGCCGCAAAAAGACTTTGCATGTTCACCTCTGCATTACCCAACAAGGACGCTCCTGCAATTCAAGATTCTCTATGCGGTATCTAGTGCCCAAGTTAAAAGGTAAATAAGTATTATAAAGAATATTTTCCAGTCTATTGCTATATATATAGTATTAGGGCTAAGACTACTGTTTGCTGAGTTCCTAAAAAGATCAGTAGGAGTTTTGCTAGTGATTCTAATAGGAGCAGGATTTGGCTCTGTTAGCCAGCCAAAAATATGAGTGATACTTAAGATCAATATTTTTTAGGATTCTCTTCAGCTCCTTCCTCAGTTGTGTCAGATAAGTGGGATCAATGGGACACAAAAAACTGGAACATAGTATATTTATTATTTTCAATAAATACACATTTCTGCGTTGTTTAATTAAATTCCAGCTACATTTCTAGTCAGAGGAGGGATTTAATTGAGGAAATAAATCATAAATATAAACTGTAAGCCTCTGGCTTCACCTAGCACAGTGAATTTCCATTGACTCAGTGTATGTGATAGGCCTTCCTCTCAAGGATTCTGTAATATTGTCATTGCCAGGTCACTTAAAGGACAGCTTTCCTATCTTGAAATCTTTTGAATATAGATAGTTTCTTTCAAAGCACACAAGAACGGAATTCAAGATGACTAACACTTATATTTTATTTCTTTCTAACATTTCTTTTAGACTTGTAATTATATGTCATCTGTGCTTAATGATCTATCTTTCTAACATAATGAGCTTGAGAAATAATAAGAATAGCAAGTGTGTGTGGCACAAAGATTTGTACTTGAGGTGATGCACATCATATAAATGTGTACGACTGAAGTTTAGGAATACAAAAGATCACTGGATAAGACCTCTAAATTGAGTTTTCTCTTTTCTCTAACTGCAATATTTTTCAAAATTTCGCATTTGAACATAGAGATATCTTCTTCCATAACTACGGAATTATAAAAATACTAAGTAGAATATCTGTGCTTGGTAGGCAAACTTGGCTTTGCATTTAATTAGGTCCTTTCACAGAGACATTCACTAAGTAGCCTCAAAATGCTCTCAGTCACCTGCCACAAATCCTCTCTCCTCTCCATTAGGAGATTACCTGGTTAAATCATATTTGTTCCATGTGAACTAATATTAAACACATTGTGGCATATATGCCCATACCATGGGATTGTTTTCTATCCTTTCAAAAAATACTGAAAAGAGCTGTCATATTTCCAGGGCAGTTAAAGTGTTAAAGTGGAAATCACTGAAGTTTTGAGAGCCAAGAGCAAAGAATTTTATGATGGAATGACCGGCTGCATAGATGAGGGGAGAGCGGTGGATGTCATCTATCTTGACTTCACCGAGGCTTTTGACATCGTCCCTCACAACATCCTCCTGGACAAAGCTCTGGAAGTGTGGGATAGATGAGTGGACAGTGAGATGGATTAGGAACTGACTGGATGGCAGGGCCCAGAGAGTGGTGATCAGCGGTGCAGAGTCTAGTTGGAGGCCTGTAGCTAGCGGGCTCCCCCAGGAGTCAGTCCTTGGTCCAGTCCTGTTCAATTTATTAATCAATGACCTGGATGAAGGCACAGAGTGCTCCCTCAGCAAGTTTGCTGATGACACAAAACTGGGAGGAGT